CTGCTTGTGTGGGTCCCAGGCTGGTGTCCATGGAGACCCTGCCTGCCCAGTACTGGGCGTGGCACAGACAGACTGGGGTGCCCAGTCAGCAGGGCTGAGTCTTGCGGCAGCAGCAGCAGAGACTGGCACTGGCAGCTGAAAGTAGGCACCACTGCAGGGGCTGTTGGGAAGCGAGTCTGTCTGCTGCGCCTCCTCAGCCCTGCTGCGTACTGGATGGTGGTGGGATCGGCCGCGTGCCCCACAGCCTAGGCTGCCCCCTGTGCCTAGGCTGGGTGGGGCTGAAAGACCCTCTGCAAGCTGGATAAAACTCCTGCTCATAACAACAACACCTCCTCAACTATGTCATTGTAAGAGTGCGTGATCTAAGACATTCATATCACACGTATTATGAGAGGAGCTGATGACTGCTGAACCAGTCATCACCTAGTGAGATAAATCCTGTCCATTAGGGTTGCATTGAAACATTGAAAGAAACCCAAATCAGTCCAAATACAGTACAACATCAAATGCCTTCAGACTCCTAGACACCACAAAGCTCTCCAAACATATCTCAGCAAGAAACTCATCAGTTGTAGGATAACACTTGTGTTGAGGAAGATTGGAAAGCTCTAAAGGAGACCATCCATAAGGTCCAACAATATGTTGACAGTCGTGATGTGCAGAGCTTCTTTAGTCATGACGTGCAGAGCTTCTTTAGTACAAGGCTGTCTGCAAGAGCTTGCAGACTCAAGAGTACGCTCTTCAAAGACAGTAAGTCCATCAAAAACTGCTGGAAGGAGCACTGCCAAATTTCCTGAACCGAGAATCAGTGGTGACTGATGAAACTATTGAATCCATACTGCAGCACTGAGTAAGGCAGCAGTTCCCAACCTCAGGTCGTGACCCAAATGAGGGTCGTGGGGGCAATGCTGGTGGTGCCGTACACAAAGGGTGAGCCACGTCATGTGCTGGGAGCTCCCCTACCCTGCTCACAGCAGTGGCTAGTGGCAAAAAAAGGTTGGGAACCATTGAAGTAAGGAAAGCACTTGTCAGTCCACCAATCTCTGAAGAAGTCTACCAGATGATAACACAGATGAAGAACAACAGAGCATCTGGCCCTGATGGCATACCAGCTGAGATCTTCAAAGTAGGGGGGAAACTATGACCAACAAGATCCACACACTATTTCTCAAAATCTGGAATACTGAGGAAATTTCCACAGACCCAAGGAATGCCAATATTATCACCATTTTTAAAAAGGGTGATAAGTCTGACTCTGGAAACTAATGAGGTATTGCCCTCCTCTCTGTCACCAGGAAGATGCTTGATCGAATTCTGCAAAGTCAACCGCTCCCTCTTGCTAAATAAATCCTTTCTGAGTCTGTGTGGCTCCAGACCATCAAAAGGCACCAGAGACTTGATTTTTGTGGCCTGGTAGATCTAGGAAAAATGCTGAGAACACCACCAGGAATTGTATATGGCCTTTATTGATTTGACCAAAGCTTTCAACTCTGTTAACTGTGAGGCTGTATGGAAGATGTTATCGAAGTTTGGCTATCCAGAGAAATTTATCATGATCCTAAGACTCCTTTATGACCAGATGACTGCCTTCATCCTGTGCAGTGGCTCTGGCTGTGGCGCCCTTTCCCATTTGAACTGGCGTCAAGCAGGGCTGCCTGATTGTACCAGTTATGGTTTCCATCTTTCTTGCAGTCATCAAGATCCTGATCAGTAACCATCTGCCACATGGCATTGGCATTGAGAACAAGATGGAGAGGAGCCTTTTCAATCTCTCCTGCCTCCATACCAAAACCAGAGTTATTTCAGCTTTGATTGTGGAACTGCAGTACCCCGATGCTTGTGCTGTCATTTTGCATATGGAGGAACACCTACACATGTCCCTTAACTGCTTTTCTCAAGCACACCAGTGCCTGGGACTGGCTCTAAACATCAGAAAAACAAAGGTGCTTCACCAACCTGCTCCGAGCCAGTCAACTCCCCTGGAAAAGATCCTCGTTGTTGGACAGGAGCTGGAAAATGTTGACTACTTTGCATACCTCGGCAGCCATCTCTCAAAGAAGGCCAACATTGAGGAGATCCTGTATAGGATCCAGTGTGCTAGCTCTGCCTTCGGAAGACTATCATTGTGTGTTCAATGTTCATCAGTCACATCAGGACTTGAACAGAGTTCCTGCTGTATAAGGCTGTGATAATCCCAACTTTTCTCTATAGATGTGAAGCTTAGGTGATGTACAGGCCTGAAAAGCCTGGCAGGCCATCACCAGCACTACCTCTGGAAGATCCTTGGTATAAAATGGGAGGATCGTTGCACAAATGCCAGTGTCCTCAATGACACTAACACCACCCGTGTAGAAACATTGATTATTCAACACCTTGCTGGGGTTGTTTGACCCCAGTACTCTTTCCTGCCATGGCAGGGGGTCGGACTCGATGATCTGCTCAGGTCCCTTCCGACCCTAGAAACTATGAAACATCTTTTGTCATTGTGTGTGCATGCCTGATGTACAAAACAACTGCTGTTCTCCCAACTCAGTCCAGGACAAAGGACATGTGGGGGCAGAGGAAACACTTCAAGGATGCCCACAAGGCAAACATCAAGAAGTGTGGCATTGACATCACAGATTGTAAAAAAAACAAAACAAAAAACTAGCTTGGGGCAGGGCTACAAGGCAAAGACTTTTAGCCAACAAACTGTTGGTTCAGGTGGGAAGGGGGCACACAGCCTGCTTAAAAAAGGGAAGTGTTTTATAATCTAGAAGTGTTTCTGGTAATCTAACTAAAGCATGTGGTAAGTAAGGAAACAAAAAGTTATGCAGTATAGTTTTGGGAAGGGCCAGGACTTGTAATGGGATCCTATGAAAATAACATTGATTAAATCTGCAGGATTGTTGTTGGGAAGGCTCATTTAATGACTTTTCAGATTTATAAAAATAAGTAAAAATGTCATTAGTATTATTTATCAAAGTTTATACACTTTACTTTTGAACTGTCAGCATTTACACTTTGTAAGAATTGGGGTATCTCTGTTGTGTCTTTCTTGGCAAACGGAGACTTTTTAATGCTGACTTTTTGTTGGTGATCACAGTGGAAAGATGGATGAATCTGGCCTTTAAGATTTAATCCTTTTATACAAGTCATAGCCTGAACCTTTTACAAGTAAGGAAAAATAGTAGGCTTGCATGATATGAGTAACATATACAGAACATACAAGGGAGTCTCTTTCCCTACATGAAAATTTGAGTAACTGATTCGCCAACTAGGAAGGTTCACCACCTAGGAAGGCAAATATCTAATACATGTGTATGGGCTAAATACAATTTTTTCTCCTGTTCTGTCCTTCCAGACTGGTACTGTGAAACTGACAAAGCCAGTGGCACTCTGGACACAGCAGGATGTCTGCAAGTGGTTGAAGAAACACTGCCCTAATCAGTATCAAATCTACAGTGAGTCATTCAAACAGCATGACATAACTGGTAAAGTATGCAGTATCAGAAATATTTAACTTATTTTAAAAAAAGGAAAATTGATTTTTAACTCTGCTTTTAAATAAATTATGACTATGTAACAAGGACCTGTCATTAGTTGTTTTTATCTGGAATGGTTGTACATTTCAGAGTGGCGAATATATACTAGCTTGTATCAGTACCAGTGAGCTAACTTTCTTCAGTTGCTCTAAAACAGACTAGGGGTTAGGAAGGGCTGAAATAGACCGGGGGAGAATGAAGCAACAGATCTTGATAAGACTGTTTAGTCATATACTTGTCAATGAGGGCTGGTTACAACCTGAAATTCACATTTTGTGGGAAATTCCACATTTTTTTTCATTCTGAATCAAAGCATTGAAATGTTGACATTTTCTAGGGGAAAAAAATCATTTTGAAAAAAATATAAATTACATTTTATTTATCCTTTTATTGAATCGTTTCATTATGGGAAGGTTCAAATGGATTGATTTGACTTTATCAGCTTGAAAAGAATCATAGAAGGGTAGGGCTGGAAGAGAGCTCAAGAGACCATCAAATTCTTTCTCAAGCACAGGGCGGGTAAAATGTACATAGACATCTCCAACAGATATTTTTCTAACCTACTGTTAAAAAGAACAATGCACTGTCTCCTCTAGCCGCTTGTTCCTGTTCTTCTAGTTAGGAAGTTTTTCCTAATATTCAACCTAATTCATTTTTGCTGCAAATGAAATTGATTCCTCCTTATCCTATCCCAAATGTACATGAAAGACAGTAGATCATTATTTCCCTCCTTGACACCTTATACACAGGGATCTACTTAATTCATGATTTCGTGATTTTTTTCAAAAACCACAAAGAAAGGTAGTTTCAGTGATCAGCATGAAAACTGGATTTCCTGTGATTTTGTGTGGAATCGCCCCCCAGAAAAACCTTATGAAAAATAAAACACTGCAGCCCAACTCACAGCCTGCCGGTGGGGTAGATGCTGCTGACATGAAGGAGAGCAGGCAAGATGGCAGCTGCCCCCTCCTCCCTCCATTGCTCATTGGCCAAAAGGGCTGCATTTTGTGTGGCCCCACCCCTCTGCCAATCAGTGGCAAAGATCAGGGCTCCATGAAAGGCAGCCCTCTCAGCCAATCAGTGGTGAGGGGTGGGGCTGATGTGGCCAATCAGCAGCAGACGGGGGGAGGGTAGCTGTGAAAAGTCCATGAAAATAGTGCCAGGCGTCAGGGGTGGTCCACAATTTTTACTTCCCCTCTGCATGCTTTAAGTAGATCCCTACTTATACATATTGGGAAACTGTGCTGTCTCCCGTTCAGTTTTTTCTTTCGTCTCTAGACTTAACAAACTGGATGCTTTATGTTATATTACAGTTTACAGTACAGTATCAGTCTGGTCATTTGACTTCTTCTATTAAAATCATAACATATGTATTATTTTATGTTTTTATTGTATAAATTGACTTAGAGAAGCTGAGGAACTGAATAGGAGTCCCATTTACACACAGTGTTCGTCAGAGAACTAGCCTGCCTGCCTGATTTCCATGCAGAGTTCGAAGGAAATTCACCCATTCTTGTACAACTTGTTGACTAACAGAACCACTATAAGCTCTTTGGCTCTGTATAAATGGGAGATGGGGACATTGACCTAGAAAGCAGAAAGATAGCTAAATTCTTCTCAGATTAAAACATTCAAATAAACTGTGGAATAAGTGCAGGAGAATAATGTGACAAGATCTAATTAAAGTGTGCAGGATGTCTGTGAAGTAAGCTAACTAACATATTTCACTAAATATGAAATCCTAAGAAACTTAGTGGGAAGGCATGTCATTTGAATGACTAATGCAACATTGGGAGATGATTCTTATGGTGGCCAAAGTTGTGACTGACCAAGGAGAAGACGGAGGGATAATATTGAGCAAGATCTTAATGTGCATTGGCAGCAATGGAGAAAATGAGCCATTTTGTAGAAAGATGCGAGGAGAAACTGTGAGAGTGGCCAAGGACCTGTAGCATCCGTAGAACCAAGGATGGGAAAGAGGAAGAGGACACATTTGGGCTGCATTTTCCATTGCCCTGTATCTTCCATTTCTGTAAAGAAGACATTTTACCTTCTATTCATAGTGGCATAAAAAAACATAAGGAGTAGGTCGAAGGAAAATCAGTCAGGCCCTTATTTTAACAAAACCTTCATGTTGAACAGAACTGGCTGGACAGCACCACTTTAAGTATCATAGGAGATGTCTTCCTTGGAGGTAGGTTACCCTGTTCTTTAGAGGCTGATAGTGCACCAGTGAATTCAGCAGGGGTTTGTTTTTCATTGCCTTTATGCAGCATGGGCCTAGAGTGACTAAAAAAGTCCAAGTATCCTTGGGAGGAACATATCAGTTTGTTGACAGCATAATAAGGAAGAGGCCTAAATAACTGCTCACTCGTGGGATTCAGTTTTTTTTTAAGAAACTTTACATCATCTCCTTAGTTTTATGCAGTACTCACACTGTGTCTCTCCAGAGTAATTTTTAGTGGTATGATCATTAAACTAACCTCATTCTGTCAAAGTAATACCCAGGGGACACCTGTGCCCAAGTGAAAGAGTTGATGTGAAACATTTGAAAGGACACAAGCGATTTAAAAAAATAAACTCATAGGAGGAAATGAGCAGGACTCTACTCTCTTTTTGGTTTTAGAAGGGACTACAACCTATGGCTAAGACTTAAACACTGAACTGCACCGTGACAATGTAATGCTTACTAGTACTAATGATGCAGTGCACATTGCCACATTAAAATACTGCTAATTTTATATTCCCCAGAAAAAGTAGCATTAAATTAGCAATGCTGCTTTCCATTGTTATAAAGCATGCCTGCAAATCTGTCTGTGTAATTTTAGCAGGATCTGTTTGTACCCTTCAGTAACATGCCTACAAATTAGGAGCTTAACAATTCATTTAAAATCTAAATGATGTAACATATCAGTGGAAGGATGTTCTTGTAGTTAAGAGACTACCCTGGAACTGAAAGAATTCCTGGTTCTGCCATGGCCATCATTTGCAACCTTGGGCAGAGAAAACAACTAAGTTACTGAGAGATTATTTCCTTTTTTTCATGGATGTTTAAGTCAATCATAGTTCTGAGGTGCTTAAGTAATGTGGTAGGAAAGACCGTATTATTAGTGACTTGGATGAGGGGGTGAAAAGCACCCTGTTCAAATTTGCTGATGGCACCAAGATTGGGGGCGAGATGGGCATGCTGGAAGGGAAGGACAGGATACAACTAGACCTAGACAGGATACAGGGGTGGGCGAATGTGAATAGGATGGGATTCAGTACTGACAAGTGCAGGGTACTGCACTTGGGCAGAAAGAACCAGCAGCATACCTATAGGCTGGGGAACTCCCTTCTCGAAAGTACAGTGGCAGAAAGAGATCTTGGAGTCATTATTGAATCTAATATGAACATGGGCCGCCAATGTGAGGACACGGTCAGCAAGGCTAACCGCACCTTGTCATGCATCCACAGATGCATCATGAGCAGGTCCAAGGAGGTGATCCTCCCCCTCCATGTGACACTGGTCAGGCCACAGTTGGAGTACTGCGTCCAGTTCTGGGCACTGTACTTCAAGAGGGATGAGGCCAGGATCGAGAGGGTCCAGAGGAAGGCCACTCACATGATCAGGGGGCAGCAGGGCAGGCCCTATGAGGAGAGGCTACGGGACCTGAACCTGTTCAGCCTTCAAAAGAGAAGGCTGAGAGAGGATCTAGTGGCCATCTATAAACGTACCGGGGGGACCAGAGGGGAATGGGTGACACCCTGTTCCCCCAACTGCCTCCCGGAGTAACAAGGAATAACGGCCACAAGTTGATTGAGAGTAGGTTTAGGCTAGACATCAGGAGCCACTACTTCACAGTCAGGGTGGGTAGGATCTGGAACCAGCTTCCAAGAGAAGTGGTGATGGATCCTACCTTAGGGGTCTTTAAAAGGAGACTTGATAACTACCTAGCTGGGGTCATATGAGCTTAAACTTACCAGGGGTCATATAAGCCCAGTATTTATTCCTGCCCAGGGTCGGACTTGATGATCTGCTCAGCTCCCCTCCAACCCTACATCTATGAACTATGAACCTATATCACAGTTCAGATGGATAATGGGTAATTCAAGAACCCTTGCCTTTTTATCCTGCATGATTCACTAACACACGGGTGATCAGATACTCTGGGGAGGTGTATGACTTTTTTAATATAAATTTTGTTCATTAATAGGAATTGATCAGGAATCTTTTGAGCTCTGATAAAACCAGATGCACGATCCAGTGCATGAGAAATAGAGTGGATATGAAGCCGGTGCTGGAGTCACGGGCACCCTAGGCAGGCCCTGCAGCTGCAGCTGCTCTGCCCAGCTCTGTGGGGGTCCCCCAAAGCACGGGCCTTGGGGTGGTTGCTCCAGTTCACCCCACCCTAGGGACAGCCCTCGATATAGATTTGTGGGAGGCTGTGGGTATGTGGGGTGCAGGGGAGGGTGTAGGTGTGTGTGGGGGG